ACCCTTCTAGGCCTTCTCCATACACTATAAAGATAAAAAAAATGAACTCAATTTTTCTTTTCTTTTTCACCTTTACAGACTTTTCCACTACAAATCTTTAGAGGGAACTTATCAATATTCAAGGGTAGATTGTACTTTAATAATCTGCCTTTATTAATCTAATCTAGGAATAATTCAGGGTTGTTGTTTTTTTCCTTCTTTATTGCTCTAAGCAGTAAAACAACACTATTCCTTTTTCTGGAGCAGTTCACTTTCCAACACATTGAGGGGGCAGAACCAAGATTCCTTATTCCCAGACTCTGGTAACCAATTCTCTGTCCCCTGCACAGGAAGAGGAATAGCACCTTTGTGGTAACTGCTCTCTCCTTCACACTGTAAGTAGAGCCAGTGGCATGAGAGCAGGGACGGGAGGGTAAGGCACAGCATGGGGTCAGAGAGAAGGTCTCAAGAGAATGGATTTGCAATGAGTGCTTTTGCTACCTGGAACTTGTAAGTGATGGCACCTGGTAGCAGCAGCTTCTGACATATCAGGGTGGGGCAGAAGGTACCGTGTTGGGGTCCTGCCCACTCCAATCCCCATGGCAGGTTGTGGGCCCCGCTGCCCAGGAACCCACCTGTACCCAGGGCATTGCCCCCCCAGCTCCAACTCCACAGGACTGGAGTGGACCCTCCCCCCTCAGGGAAGGACACGTTACTGCTTTGCTGGAATCCCTCCTCTTCTCCTAGAAATCAGATACCTCCCCCATGCACACTCCAAGCTGCACTAGCAACTCTCAGCAAAAATGGTCCACGGATGCAGTTATTCACAGATATGAAGCAGAATATCTGTGGATTTGCAAGGCTTTGTAGGTAGTAAGCACAGGTGAACCAAGGGTTTCCTTAAGCTCCCTTGTTCCCATGTGTGAGTACGTAGCTAGGCCATGATCTCAATCTCTCTCTTTCAGAGCCACACACAGTTTTAAATGGGTAAATTATATACATCTTCATTATCTTCACTCGTGTGTGCCTATTTCTGCAAGAACAACCTAAGCACCTACTTTTGAATATTTAGTTCACCATATGTTATATTCTATACCGGAGATTTACAATCTATAGTCTACAGAACACTATATGGTCACTTGCTGTTGGATCTCCTGCTTGTTTTCAAATACTATAGTGTATTTAAGGCAACTGAAAATGCATTAAATACTTCTCTAACAATACTTGCTGAGTAGATAATACCCGTAGTTTAAAGATTCTGAATAGAAAAGGTGGGGAGTGAAGGACAGTTCACAAAACACATTCACTAATATATGGTCCACCCTCAAGCAGTTTGAGAATCTTTGCTTTAAGCTATAAAAAATCAGCTTGCAGAGGAAACAAGTCTCTTCTGAGTCTCTTCTGTGAGATACATCACTGAGAGCTGATGAAAGAAGGCACCATGCAGGAGGTGCCATGCAGAATCAAGCCCTAAAATCCATGGCACTTTTCTGAAATCATTGAGATCAGAGTGCAAATTAAGTAATAAACAAAGATCCTAATTCATTTGTACATCTTAAGCAACAAAGATAAAAAATAATATTGCCAAGTGGAAAAGCAGCAAAATTCGTGATGAAAAACCTTATTTTCTGAAGAGATATTTCAAGCAACTGAGTACAAAGGAAAATACTACAAGAAGCACTTACAAAAACAAAGCTGTTTTTGGCAGGCATTTCATTGTAAATTAGTTCTGTGGAATATTACTTACTTTAAAACAGTTTCCTCTAGAGAGTAATAATACAAGATGTTGTCCATGCCTAGAAAGAAACAAATATGAGGGAAAAAAGATTTCAATTATAATGTCAAAATCAATTCCATAACTAGCTCAGAGTCCTCCCTTGTAAAATATTGAAGAATTTAATTTAATGTATAATCTTGTCTTCAGCTAGCCAGAAGCTTGTTCCCCGAAAACTTCATTCAAGCTGACTGATCTATCCTAATTCCCACTGATAGTGGAAGTGACAAGCATATGCATTCACACACTTTAAAGACAGTGGTCTATTTTATCCCCATTGTAATAGATTACATCAGTGATCAGTTCAAATTAAAAAGGTACCCAAATTTAAGTTATGTCTAGACATGGAGGATAAATCAAAACCTCATCATCTAACTTTTGCTACATCAGAAGTTAATTACTACACAGGAAAATCAATTTAAAGACCGGCTGCTTGGATTCATTTTAATAATGTTCACCACATTGTACATAATCTGTGATGAAGTCTATAAACAAGTGCCCCAAAGATAGGATGCTGAAATCTCACTACTAGCCCACAATCAATATAACATTTTATTTCACATAAAAGGAAGTATCTTTATCATTTATGTCAGTGTTAAGTAAATAGATTCCATTTACCCCCAACTTCTATATACAAACTCAGTAAACAAACTCCCTCTGCTCCGTAAACATGAAGAATATACAAATTCTAATTTGGGGTATACATTTTTAAATATATACCCCAAATTAAAAAACATAGTAGAAGAACTAAAGAGCCACCGTGGCTTAACAACCATGTAAAAGAAGCAGTGAGAGATAAAAAAGACATCTTTTAAAAAGTGGAAGTTAAATCCTATGGTGTGTCTAGACTACATGCCTCCTTCGACGGAGGCATGTAGATTAGCCAGATCGGAAGGGGGAAATGAAGCCGCGATTAAAATAATCGCGGCTTCATTTAAATTTAAATGGCTGCCCCGATCTGCCGATCAGCTGTTTGTCGGCAGATCGGGGCAGTCTGGACGCGATGCGCCGACAAAGAAGCCTTTCTTCATCGGCACAGGTAAACCTGGTTTCACGAGGCTTACCTGTGCCGATGAAGAAAGGCTTCTTTGTCGGCGCATCGCGTCCAGACTGCCCCGATCTGCCGACAAACAGCTGATCGGCAGATCGGGGCAGCCATTTAAATTTAAATGAAGCCGCGATTATTTTAATCGCGGCTTTCTTTTCCTCTTCCCATCTTGCTA